TTGAAAAAGAGAAGGTAGTCATCTCAGAACCACGATTCCTGGGCCTTAAGAGTATACCTGCAACACCTTAACATCGTGGGCGTTACCTTTATAGCCCCCTGTATACCCTCCTTATACGCTCCTTATACCCCCGTTATAACCCCCTTATACCTTGGTCTAAGCCTCCCTAGCCGCTGCTGCGGCGCTGTCGTAGTTCAGGGCCTCTGCCAGCCCAGGGTTCGTCTGCCAGTGCGCGTCCCCTGGGGCGAAGGCGCCCTTCCACCGCGTGTGGCCCCAGGGGTTCTTCAGGAAGAGGAGGCGGCGGCCTTGCTCGGTGCAGCAGCGGAGGACCTGTGTTTTTTTAAGACCACAAGAACTGTATAGAACTGAGGGTCGAAGCATGTCAGGCGATCAGTCTCTCAATCTACTCTCTCCCTTTGACAAAGGAGGAGATGATGCTTCTTCTATGCTGCCTATAATAAGGCTTCCCAAACATATCGACCCAACTGCTGGCTACTGGTACACTATACTCCCCTTAGAACCTTCATAAAAGTTAGTTATATTGTTAATATCCCCTTGGGTTTCAAATAAACAAGAATAGCAAATATTTCCCAGCGGGGGGATATAGTACAGGCCAAGGGGGCCGGATAAGCGTGGCCGGCAACCAGGCCCGTGGAGACGCTCACGCCCTCCACGTAGCCGGAGCGCGCGGCCAGCTCATTAGTGATGGCGTCCGCCAGCTCGGTGGTGCCCACGCAGACGACGCAGTGCCTTGAGGGGTGGGAGTTACCCTAAACCCTAAACCCGAAACCCTAAACCCTAAACCCTTGTAGGTATCAAAAGTCTACAAGCCGTTCGAACAACCAGTGTAAGCCGGATGTTGGTCGACTGGCGTGTAATTCCGAAGATTACCCTAAAACCTAAACCCTAAACCCTAAACCCTAAACCCTAAACCCTAAACCCTAAACCCTAAACCCTAAGTAATTCCGAAGTTGGGACTTCTGAATGGCCAGGCAAGTTGCCCTTTGGCGAAGCCTTGATTCGCCGCCTCGAATATCTCCTTTCTTCACCATTAGGGTTTAGGGTTTAGGGTTTAAGGCTTAGGGCTTAGGGCTTAGGGTTGAAGGTCTTGGGAGGATTGAAGTGTGATTGTCCAAGTTTGCGCAGCAACGCTCAGTCCACATCGGCAACGCACCAGGGCAGCAAGAGCATTGTATTGCAACTCGGATGGCCCTTAAAACCCTCGGAAGGATTAGGGTTTAGGGTTTAGGGTTTAGTGTGGAGGGTGGATCTAAATTACAAGCCTTGTTTGGAATCCGAAGCTATGTGGAATGCATTTTGCTTAAGATCCTGAAGAGTATGCTTCAGATGCACCAAGCCTCATGTATATGGGCTGTAGGGTCAGTTGCCCAAAATGGGGGTCGTCCTACCTTTGCTTTCAGTATTTTGTATATCGGGGGCGGGGGCCGTCATGTAGATGGCTGACAAGATCTTGTCTTGCTACGGTTTATTACATCAAACCTAAACCCTAAACCCTAAACCCTAAACCCTAAACCCTAAACCCTTGGAGATGAGGTCTTGGGGCTTTCAGGGTGTGAAGGCTGTAGTGCTCGGAGCGCTTGGAAGTTTTAAGGCGTTTTGCTTTAGAAGGCGCTTGGGATATGAGCTTCAGGGTTTAGGGTTTAGGGGCTTTCAATTGGGGAGAGTATGACCCCTAGCTTAGGAGGAACACCCGAAGCCCTGGTGCATTTTTGGGCTTGGCATCACCCATGCTTTGCCGTGAATACTTCTTTGCCCTCTGCGATATTTGCCTCGGTAGGCCCTTGGGACACTTTATATTTTCCCTTATTGAGTTTAAGAGGAGCATGTTCAGGAATATTACCCTAAACCCTAAACCCTTAACCCGAAACCCTAAACCCTACACCCTTCCCCCTAAACCCTAAACCCTAAACCCTAAACCCTAAACCCTAAACCCGAGTGAGGCAGGTCTCCACGAACTCGGCTTCGGTCGCCGGTGCGCCGTCCGAGTCAGCTCGCAGTGGGAAGGTTTCCTGGGTCGGGAGCTGGGTTTAGGGTTTAGGGTTTAGGGTTTAGGGTTTAGGGTTTAGGTTTAGGGTTTAGGGCTAGGGTTTCGGAAGTTTCGGGTTTAGGGTTAGAGTTTCGGGTTTAGGGTTTCGGGTTTGGGCTTGGGGTTTAGAGGGGTTTACGGTGACTTTAGGGAGTCTAGGGTTAAAAGGGCTTTGGGGGGGGGGTTTAGTGTTCAAGGAGTTTAGGGCTTCGCTTTCAACTTATCGCTTCACTCTCACTGGCCATGCGTGTGATGACTTTCTTCAGCATTTGACAGCTTCAACACACAGGAAAGTCTAATTTTAATCATAAACTGAGGAGACTCCATCCTGCGGTTTTTTCGGGGCGTTCTTGTTGGCCACATGAAGTTCTAAGGCCCGAGCCCGACATACTTCGTTATGAGCTGCGTCTGTGAACCGTGGAGCAAGCATGCTGCTCCTAGCAGTTTGACTCCTATATAGGTCCCAGAGCAACCGAGCCATGCAACGGGAACTGCTTCTCCCTTAAAGGGGTTCCTGAAGGAACCGCTCAACAGAACTTAAAGACCCACTCACTCGGTACCTACCCTGAACTCCGAACCTTCCCCAAGTCTCTGGAATCCAGCCGGTGATGTGGAAGGCGTCTGTGCAGGGATTCGAACCTCTCATGGCATAAGAGCCCCCCATGATCATAGCCACGGCCTTCTCGATGAGTACAACCCAGAGCTCTTGAGGCGCGGCCGAGTGAGCGCAAAGAAGCCTGCCGTTCGTGGCGACAGGCACGACATCATCCACCACCACGCATCTGGGCATGCCGTTGACAAAAAGACGGCATGCGTAGTGCTTCGCTCCTGCATGAGCTGCATGAGGAATCAGAGCCGGTTGAAGGATGCTCCTTAGAATGGGCTCTCCGAAATTCCGCTCGTAGTCGGCGAGCACGGAGAGCACGGACATTAAAGAGCAGTCTGTCACGCGGCCTTGCCGAATCTTGCTGGAGTCAGGAATTCCTTCGAAAATCTTGGGCTCCGTGTGTCGGTGGCCTTGACGTCTTAGCCACTCGCTCATGCAACACCACTCGCTCAAGGCGGCTTTCTGCATACGGCTCAGGCTGACAGGGCTTCCCTGTGCCTTTACTGAACTTGGAACCCTAGCAACAATTACAATCTTAGCTGTTTCTTAGGAATTCTAGTACCCAGAAACTAAAAATTATTCCCAAGTACCCCTAAGGTGCAGGAGTCTCTCTCTGATTCAGCATTTCCCAGTATTCCTGCTGCTTCTCCCAGGGTGCCAGGTGGAAGCCATGAATGGACGAGCCCTCTTGTAGAACCGTTTCTGGTAGCACCACCTCACACCTGGCGGAAGCGAAATTCTCCGTGCGAACTCACCCTACCCAACCCGAATCATAAGCCATCTCCGTCCATCCATCGACTGCACCTGTGCAACCTGAGCTCCTTCTAGTCACTTGAACTTTTGAATCCACACCTGCCAACGCCCAGACTCTACTCAGACCTGCACAGCTATATGTAAAGTCGCGAGTCCTAACTTGGAGCCCAATGCGATGTCATGCCCTGTAGCGCATGCATGCAAGCGACTCCATCTATGGCAGAGTGCGTAAAGCATCACATGCGCACGAGAACAAGACGCCCAGGCTGCGTAGACCCAGGGGTAACCTATAGGAATAGAAGGCTGCCCTTTTTGGGTTTAAAGCTGGTTATAAGGGAAGCTATAAACCCCTAACAGAAGCCTACTCTGGGTCGCAGCCGCACGCAGTCTCTGAATTATACTCCCCTTAGAACCTTAATTAATTGACACAGTATTTTTCCTATTCCCTTGGGTTGTATAAAAAAGAGAAAAAAATCCTGGGGGGGGGCTATAGGAGTTTTTGTCGCTCGGCGCCCGGCCTGTAGACTGGATCCCTGACCGCCGAGGGGGCCAGGGGCGGGTCTTCAAGATCCAGCTCAGACTCCGACTGGCCCACCTGGTGTGGCAGCCCTAAACCCGAAAAAACCTAAACCCGAAACCCTAAACCCTGAACCCGAAACCGGAAACCTTAAACTCTGAACCCTAAACCCGAAACCCTAAACCCTGAACCCGAAACCCCTGATTCATACACACCGACTCACCACCCTGCTTCCAAACCTAATTCACACGACCCCTGAGATGTGACCTGAAAGCACCCAACTTCGTCCGCCAGCCCCGAGGGGCTTGCCGACAATAGTGGTCCCCCCTTTTTTGGGAAGCCTAGAAGAAGCACTATAGCATGTTTAGGGCATCATGTAAGGAGTACCCTCATCTTCCCATCTGCGTTGTTTCTAAGGCTCGGACGCGTGTTGGCTGCGGCCCCTCGGCTTCCTCCTCTGCATCTTTGGCAACCGAGGAGTAGGCCGGATAGCAGCAGCGGCAGCAGGTTTTGAGAACCGCGCGCATGGGAACAGAAGCGTGAAGCGAAGGAACTTGTGTAGGATGACTGTCACAACTCATCTACCTTTCTCTCTTTTTCTCGGCTGTAGTGCCAGTAGCCTGTCGTGAAGAGTCCAAGAGTCTGAAGACAGCGCAAGCTGTCACTAGGCGCTACACCTAGAGGCGTCATGACGGTACCGATCTGCTACTGTGAGCCACATTGACCAGACATCCCCTAAACCCCAACCCTAAATCCTGAACCCTAAGCCCTAAACCCCTATTGACAGCATAAGTATTCCGGTTATGGCCGATTGCTAAACGTGGTATTGTTCAGCTTTGGCCATGACGTTTTGCGGGACTTTTGCAAAGTCCATGCCCTTTCCGAATGAGGTAATCCCGTCCCCCTAAAATTAAACCCCCCTACCCCCTAACATTAAATACCCCTCATTATAGTTATATTCCAGTATATTGGGGGTTTTTATATCAGGGGGTAGGGGGGGGGGGGGGGAGGGGATTACCTTCACAGAGGCTTGCCTGAACCCTCTCCCACTTAATGAAATTAGCAATGCTGCTGGCCTCCCGTTCCGCATGGGCACTTCGCCCTGAACGCCGCTGCCATATGGAAACAACCGCCGCCGTGGCCTTGAGAGGCAGTGTCATCGATGACGGAACGACCCACAACTACGGTCCTGAATAATATGGGGTCCTGAATAATATGGGGGCCTGAATAATTAGAATAGTTTTTTTTTGGGGGGGGGGGGGGGGGTATTGTAAGTATATATAAAGGGACCATAAAGGAACAATACCAGTAATTCTTCCGACCCCTATGTAATTGCAAACGTGTGTCCCAGTGGTGAGCGAGTGCGAGCGCACGTGTGCGTGTAATTTGGGGGTTAGCACGGCTGCACCAGTCTCTGGAAGTATTCGCCTGCCTCTTCAGTTTTCGAATGTATTGAAAAACCATAGGGGCTGTGCCGCTACAAGCTGAAATGGCGCATTGCGAGAAACGAGGAACTTGCTCTCACAATCAACTCGCCTGCTTAGTCCCCACCCCTCCGCCCCCCCAAGAGTGCATCTGGCCACTGCGCGCTGGGAGCCTGACCCCTGCAAAACAGCAGAGGCGGCCAAGCATGCTGGGAACAATGCCTATCGTCTACAAAGCATCGCGCAAACTAAACTAAACTAAAGTAAACTGAACTAAACTATGTGGAGGGTTTTAAGTACACACACACATGTACAGTATATATATATATATATATATATGTGTGTGTGTGTCGATCTACACGTAGGTAAAAACACACACACACACACACACACATATATATATATATATATATTCACATAACAACATGCATGCATACACATATATATATATATATATATATCTATATATATATATACAAAACTGTATACAGCTGCACATGTACAAAAGCATATACATCTACGGATACGTATGCATATACATGTGCCAGATAGGATTGTTCGGTGCGGGAACTTCCGACTCCTTCCAGACTTGGCGAGTTGCAGCGGGTATGTTGCCTGGCGTGCTGCAACTTACTTGTTATTCTTATGCTGGTTCTGTTCATGTATAGTGCTTGCAATTACTCCTCTCGTTGTTATCTATGCCTTCCGTGTTGGCTACATGTGCTGCAGTAGCTTTGCAGCAGAACAGCTACCAAGTCTGGCTGCGGAAGCGTGTGCGCGGAAAACAGTGTTGGCAAATCTTGCATGAGCGGGTCAGTCGGACAAACCTTCAGGCTGTAGTCGGTGCACCTGAAACCACATCGAACAGCCTCTCGTGTCACCACTTACATGATGTACACACTTCTCAAGCCCACACAAGCAGCAGCTTCATCTCAAACAAAGACATACCCATCACCCAAACACTCTGGAACCGATCATCCCTCCTTTTTTTGGTGCTCAGTGCTCACTGCACCGCCATATCTCGCCGCCCTAAACCTTCACTACCGCGCCATCTTTGGCGCTCCTGTACATGGCGTCGATGGTTTGAACCACATAGCGGCCGATCGTCGCATCCTGCGCATGCGCAAGTCTACATGTAGGAGGGCTCAGAACCCCAGAGCTCCGGCAGTTCTCGACCCTCCCTAAACCCTAAACCCTAAACCCTAAACCCTAAACCCTAAACCCTAAACCTCAAGTCTGAACCCTGAATCGGGAATCTGCTTTGCTGAGGCTCCCAGGCTGACGAATCATGGTGTGGAGAGGCCCAGGGGAGGGTGCATACTGCAAACAGGGTCACCCTAAACCCTAAACCCTAAACCCTAAACCCTGAACCCTAAACCCTAAACCCTGATTCCTAAACCCTAAACCAAAACCCGAAACCCTAGACCCTTTCGATGAGAAGCTTCAAGTAAAGAGCCACATGTTTGGAGACCCCTACACACCCCGAACCCGACAAGCCCGCTGAAGCCTTAAACCCCTACAATCAACTCTTAACGATTTAAACCCTAAGCCGCCCAAACCATCCCCTAGAATCCCGCAAGACCCGCCGAAAACTATAAAAACTCCCTTCGGATCCCCGAAGATCCAGCAACACAAACCACACAAAGAGACCCTAAAGCCACCCACAAAATCCCCTAAGGCCCACGGCGCCGCCGCGTTGACGAAGTCGCCGCCGCAGCAGGCGGCCAGGAAGAAGCGTAGCGACTCGGGTCCCAGGCCCTCCTTCCTCAGATAGGGTTCAGGGGTTGAGGGGTTTAAGGTTTTACAGTTTAGGGCTTTAAAGGGTCAAGGGGTTTCAGTTTAAGGGGTTTATAGGGGTTTAGGGGTTGAGGGGTTTAGGGGTTAAGGGTTCAAGGTCTAAGTGTCCAGAGTTTAGGGGTTAAGGATTTCGGGTTTTAGGGTTTAGGGTTTCGGGTCTAGGTGTTTAGGGTTTATGGGGGTTGGCGTTTAGGGTGCAGGGGTTGAGGGGTTTAGCGGTTTAGGGCTTAGAGGTTCTCTAAATTCTGGTCCTTCATATGTCGGAGATTGTAAAAACAAAATATGTACATATATATATATACATATATATGTATCATATACATATACATATGTATAGATAGTGTAGGGTTCGGGGGCAGGGCTTAGGGTTTAGGGTTTGGAGTTTGGGGTTTGGGCTTTAGGGTTGAGGTGTCCACAAGGGCCTCCCCTAAACCCTATCCAACCCTAAACCCTAAACCCTAAACCCGATGAAGCCTATAAACCCTACACCCCCTAAACCCTAAAACCTTGTGGGAATATCATTCCGCTTCTGGCCAGGCCTACATCTTCGACAACCCCGCGATCTTCACGACTCAAGGGAGGGCTACGAAACATGCCCCTTGAGCCGTCACGATGTGTAAAGTTCAGACATTGTATAGCAAAGCACCAGTTCACGACAGACCTGTACAAGACATATCACCCGATGTTGTGTGCTGAGAGTTAAAACAATTCGCTTCGCTGCCGGCAATGGTTTCGCTGGAAGGCCCGATGCAGAGGCCCAATTCTGGGGATCAGGGGCAGCAACAGGTTATGTCCGCCCAATCCGCTGCCACGGCGACAGAGCAAGTTAGTGGGCCAGCCCTAGAGGTGGCCCAGCAGCAGTCCGAAGGGGATGCTGCAACTCGATGTGAGGATCAAGGCTCTCGAGGTGGGCCTTCTACAATGGCTTCGGGGCAAGAGAGTGGAGGAAGTACTGGCAGAGGCTATGGCGCACTGGAGGAAACTAGTGTCCCTTTGGTGGTCAACGGCTATGGACCAGAACCTCCGACATTGGATGGAACTTCATTGCAAGTGGAATCTACACCAATGGCGATGCAGGCCGAGCACACAGCTGAGACGACATCGTACATTGGGAGAGCACAGGAGGCGAGGAGTTCAAGATTCGATGGCTTGTCTTCGCAGCAAGGTTTCTTTACCCCGAGATCTCGGGGAAGTGCGACTCAGGTGCGACCAGCATGGTGGCCTGGGTTCGAAGTTCCAGCTTGGGCGGAGCGCCTAGGCTCTCTTATAGGCCAGGTGGGCCGCACGGAGTTGACACCGAGTCCCTTGGCAGGAAGCACGGGGACGCCGGCGAATAGGACTTCCCCACCGTTTAGGCTGAGGCCTCCTACGCAATCTGGAAGATCGCCAGGTCCACCTCCGACTCCGCCGAGTTCGTCGAGCATCGGCCCTGAGGTTGTGCAGGCTGAAGTCCAACGACAACTTGGGGGATTGCTTGAGCAGCTACGAAAGTCGGAGGAATTGAATCAGGAGTTGATGAGGGAGCTTTCTCGAGTCAAGACGGAAGCTGAGGCCCGAACCCCTTGGACAGGTGCGGCTGAAGGAGATCATGCTGGGCTACCTGTACAAGGTCCTTGTGGGTCGCAGGGAGCTATGGGTCTACATGGTTTAGATCTACCTCAGGGTTTTCCTCAAGGTGTTGCTGGAGGGCTAGGACAAGCCGAACCTCTAGGACCTCCTTTACCTCGAGGGACCGGTGATCTGCTTTCCCGTACAGAATCTCCAGGTCCCACAGTATCTCGAGGCGCTGGTGGGATATGGACTCCAAGTGACCAGCGAGGGCAACCAAGTTATAGGGGAATGTTTGGGGCTCAAGGAACATCAGTGCCTGAGGAACCTCGAGAAGAGCCAAGTCGAGGGTTACTACAGTCGCTGCTTGGAGCAAGGTCCCGATCGCCTACCCCACCTCAGGCACCGGCGGCTAGTTCGACTTCGGATAAGGAAGTTCTGACGATGCTGGCCAAGAGTATGCAGCAACTTCAGGAACTGCAAGCTCGAGCAATGTCAAAAAGGGCGAGTGATGAGACTGTTCAGGAGATTGTCAAGCCTGGGACGACGACCTTGGCCGAACTCCCTGACCTTAAGCCCAACACCGTTAGCACGAATGCGGCAATCATGTTCCAGGACTGGGTGGAGGTTTCTACTTCTGTTATGGCGGATATTAGCGAGCAGAGTGGAGAATGGTGGAGGGCTTTGCTAGAGGGTGTCAACAAGGTCTACCTCAAATGGCTTGCAGCGACACCCCTCGAGCGGCTGAGCATCAACCCGGACTATGACAAGCAGCTGTGCCAAGGCCGTTGGGTGAGAGTGAATGCAAGAGTGTGCTCTATGATGCTGTCGGCAATGACGGACACCCTTCGGTCAGACATGGTGTCACAGCGGATTACTCATTCCGCACCTCGAATGATGTTCAGGTTGTATGTCCTGTTTCAACCTGGAGGGTCGGCTGAGCGACAGGATATCCTGTCCAAGTTGCAAAATCCCGCAGAGCATGCTCCGACCGATAAGTTAGAGGATGTCCTGGCAGTGGTGAGGAAGTGGCCTCGATGGTTAGCGCGATGCCAATCGGTGGGAATGACTCCTCCGGATGCGACTGTCTTGGTGCGAGGACTCACCTCACTGACTTCAAGGTTTGTTGAGAGCTCGACAGACATCAGCTTTCGGACGGCAATGCTGAGGACTACATTGAGGCTAGAAGCGCAACCCACATTGGAGCAGGCCCAGGCCTATCAGAAGCACCTTCAAGCCGAGCTGGAAACTATGTCAACGACCACCACGGCAGCGTCCTCGGTTCAACCACGGATCAAGGCTGTTGAGGCGATGACTTCAGGGGCACAAAAGGGCAAGGAGAAGAGTCAGGAGCTTTGCCGGTACTTTGCTCGATCCCAAGGATGCAAACGAGGAAGCAGGTGCACTTACTCCCACTCGATGGCGGCAATGGATAGGGAGACGAGGGCCCGGAAGTGTCTGCAGTGTGGGAGTGAGGCACACCGTCAACGTGAGTGTCCGGTTGGGAAGCCGGGCGCTAAGGCCAAGGCTGGACCTGGAAATCCAGATGGCGACTCCAACAAGGGGAGTCCAAAGAAGGAGCAGACGACACCTTCGGCCTCCCTCAATGCTTTGCAACCTACCTCACCCGGGGATCCGATCCCAGGGGTTCCATGGACTTTGGAAGCATTGGTCCAAGCAGCCCAGCAAGTGGTTCAAGGGGCGCAACCTTCTCGGGATGAAGACAAATCGCCAGAGAAGACGTCACCAAGCTTGAAGACACTGATGGTCCGAGACATCAGAGTATGCTCCCAGAGGGTGACTTCGTCGGCACTTTTGGATTCGGGGGCTACACATTGTCTTCGCACGGCCCGAACGTTCCAGGAGTGGTGGGATGCCGAAGAGGTCCTGGTGCAACTAGCTGGAAACCACACCTTGAGAATGAGGATCACTGAGACAGGAACGCTCTTGATGGCCCCCCAGACCGGTTCGCCAGAAGCATCAACAGGACAAACGATTGTCCCACTAGGAGAGCTGGTCAAGACCCTCGGCTACACGCTCGTCTGGGGTCCCAATGGTTGCTTCCTGGAGGATCCTCGTGGTCACCAGACGAGAATGAACACCAGCGGAGGGTGTCCTCACATGTGCGAAGCGGCCGCCTTAGCCCTCATAGCACGATTAGAAGATCGGAAACGGGAACAGCTGGAGAATGCCTCGATGGTCACGGGAGATCGACTGGAAGTAGCTGCAGCAGCTTTAGATAGGAGCTGGTTCGACTATCTCCGGGACTATGTCAGGCAAAACAAGCGGGAAGATGGCTTGCGGGCGCTAAGGGATGCTCCATTTTTCGAGGACGTGCCCGGAGAGTGCCTTGGTGACATCATCCCTGAAAATCTTCCAGACAACGGATGGAGCACCCTCAAGCAAGTGCCTTATCTTTCGCGACCACAACGAAGACGACTTCTACAGGCCAAAAGATGGGTTGTGCACCTCTTTGCAGGGGAAGAAGAACATCGAGAGCTGCATCAGCTGGACCAAGGCGATGATGTTCTCCTGGAGCTCGACATAAGAAGATGTCGGGGTCATGATCTTCGTAGTTCCTCGACTTGGAATATGCTCTTGTGGGGAGCCCGAGAGGGTAAGATCGACCTTCTGATGGGGGCACCGCCAGGGCGATTCGACAAGAAGATCGTTGAAAACAAGGACTGCCGAGATCTCAGACTCCTGTGTCGGATGCTGTGGCTGTATTCTGTGGCGGTGGCGGCTAGAGTTGCAAGAACAGGAGGAGCGAATGCGAGGAGGAGAGTAGGGTTCATCCTAGAGCACCCAAGTGAGGTCTTCACTGGGGTTCAAGATGGCAAGGGTAGTGAGCAGTTGCGCCCGGGGGTGTGGTCGTCGGAGGTGTGGCAGAGCTTCGCTGAGGAGACTGGGCAGGTCAAGGTGACGTTTGATCAGAAAGCTACAGGAAGTACAGCCCGATCTCCAACGACACTGGGAACCAACATCTTGTACCTCCAAGCGTTGGACGGACTGGGTAGCGAGACAACGACCCAGGAAGCTGAACAACATCACTGTCGAACATCACGATGGTCACCGGGATTGGTGAAAGCCTTGGTGGTGGCGGCGAAGTTGTGGGCAAAGGTTCCAACTTTGCAGTCCATATCAGAGGATCGATGGAAAGCTCACATCAACTCCAACCACCAACCGTATCGCAGAGACTGCATTACCTGTGTCATGTCAAAGGGCACGGGCCGGAAGCATGCTCGTGTAGCCCATCCTGACAGCTTCGTCCTCACGGCCGATGTCGCTGGCCCTCTGAAGCCTGGCCTTGATCCGATCAACCGTGGAAGCTTGACAAGGTCGATGAAGTACATGGTGGTGGCCAAGTATGTGTTCCCCAAGGAATACCTAAAGGGCTATGCAGGAGTTGATCCACCGGAC